CACTATAGTAAGGTAATTTTAATATATTTGATTTAAAAATTCGCTATATCAAGGGTTCGCTATATCAAGGTTTGACTATACCAATTTGGGAGTTTGCTAATTTGAGAAAGAGATCCAAAGGTTTTGTATTTGAGATCGCTGTATGGTATAAGATATTGTATAAATTACGTAATATAAATTCTACTATATATATAATTTGTCAAATTTGATATACATTCATATTTAACGAATTTCTTTTTATTTAACGATGATTTGCAATAGAAATAATACCTTATATGAAAACCTATTCTATGTTTGACAAAGACTCATATCTTTGTTTAAACATGCTTCTTCAGTTATAAATAATCTAAGTTTTTGAAGAAGAAAGTATAAAAGTAATATTATTCGTTTAACTTTCGTAACAATTTCAATCATTCTGCAGTCTTAACCCGATATTGTTGAAAAAGAGCTAACATTACAATTTATACATACAAAAAAATTAGAAATTATTCAATACAAGGTCTAATAGATAATAATACAATCAAACGGGATCATGATTACACTATAATAGGATCTGATGAAGGAGTGGATAATATTACTAAAGTGATGGATGAAGAAGATAATGAATGTCATGAAATGAAAAAATCCTATAAGGAAGAATGATTATGATGGAACAAATGATAAAAACTATGACAGAGTAAACAAGAATGATTATGATAGAGTGAATGAAAATGACTACAATGGAATAAATGAATCCAATTGGAAAGAAGATGATTATGATGAAGTGAACGAGGACGACTATGATAAAATGAACGAATTTGATTAGGAAGATGATGACCATGATGAAGTGAACGATGATGACTATAATAAAGCGAACAAATCTGATTGGAAAGAAGATGAGTATGATGGAGTGAATAATAATAATAATATTGAATTTGTCTAAGAAAGAAAGAATGTTAAGAATACAAAAAGTAAAACTTATTTAATATTATATATTATAATACTTCAACACTTTACTGATATTTGTATAGATAATGATGACGATGATAGTGAAACGTCTGAAGAAGATAAAAAAGAATATGTTGTAGACCAGGCATTGGATTAAGACAAGTTACCGACTAATGATGAAGACTTCAATCCATACTTTGAGAATATCACAGTAGCACTATTCTTTTGTTGGATCCAAAAGCATAATATTTCAATGAACTCTTATGATGAATTGGTTGATATATTACAACACCCTCAATTTCATATTAATGATATTATAACTAATGTTCGAAGGTTCCAGCAATAGAGATAACGTAATATTAGAATGTCAACTAAAAAAACACCATCAACATCATATATTATTAAACTATCTTATTACTTATCTGTTTCTGATATTATTTGATATATTCTCAATAATCATTCTTTATTCGACAAAATGTATTTTAGTCCTGCAGTGGAGGTGAAAGAAAATCTGAATTTTAGCATAATGAGCTTTGGGAAAAATTGTCTCGTTTTGGCTAAGAATCTATTGTAATCAAATAAGATATATATTATTATCAGTATAGTTTTTTAAATTGTATAAGTCCTTTTAATATATTTTATACATGTTGTTACCAGCTAAAAATTCACTATTGAAAAGTTGATCTACAAAAAATTATTAAATGATCTACAAAAGTTACTGGAATTAATTTTATGTCGATCACAAATTAGAAGATCTGCAAAATTCTGAATTTTGATGATTCTTAGGATCCATAGGATTTTGGAGATTCGTAGGATTCTTAGGATTTACTGGATTCTTCAGATTATCATGATTCGTTAGATTTTCCTAATTTCCCGTATTTCTATTATTTTAATTATTATCGTTATTTTTCTTATTTTCGTTATTTTTATTATACTTTTTATTATATTTATAATTATTATTCTTCTTATAATCATTATTATTATTATATTAACACTTGTAGTTACAAATTTAGTTAGTTTATAGCATAACAATTAGTTAGCCATAGCAAATTAATTTTGTATAAATAGAATAGCTTTTTGCTCACATCAGGAAATTTTTAAAGTTATGAACCATATAGTTAAACGTATTGATTAATACCAAACTAATAATTTTCGCATTAATTTATGTTGATAATCAATAGTGACGATAATTTACATGTTTTTCAATTGGCTTTTCAACGGTTGTAAATAAATTATCGTTGATTTATGCATTTTCCAATTGGCTTTTCAATATTATAAATAATAATACAAATTTATTGCAAATATATAGAAATATTAACTACTCGTATATTAAAAAATAAAATAATTTATATAATATTCGTTATTTTTATCATAACGTGAAACAACGTGAACTAATTCAATAATCGATTCAACAGGAATAAAATTGTAAATATTAACTAATTTTACTAAAGTACAGTCATGTTTAAACTTTCTATTTTCATCATTATAATGAAAATCGTACTATTATACGAGCACAACATTAAATGTAGAATATTCTTTAATTTCCATATTAACTAACATTAATACCTGATAGGAATATCATATTCAGTTAATATAATATAGTAAAATGATAACAATTTACTTTGGTTAATAATAATTAACATACCTTGCCAAAATAGACACCTTGATCTGTATGATAATCATCAATTTCTTCTTCGCTCATATTAATGGAAATATTACTGAATTCAGGATTATAATAATACCTGTTATTAGCACGTATGTAATCATCACTTGAGGCTACTGTAGTATAACTATACCAATGAATAATTGTATTACTTACTATCATTTTTCATTTTTCAGTCAAATATTCGAAAAGATCAAAAAATTTATTAAGTGTCAGCAAGAATTATTCAAATGCAAGCAACGTTTCAGGTGCTAGATGATTATTTGTTTATTTATATAGAGTAGTAAATTGGTTGAATTCACTTAATGGAAAAGTTGTATCAAACTATTAATTGGTGGTTTTTGTTGGTGTTTATTAGAATTAGACAACTTGTTTTGTATTAAGTATTTAATAATAGAATTACGTTGAACCTATATTTGTAAATTATAAATTGTAAATATTAGTGATAAATATAAAAATAATTTATCATAAAAATTAAAAAGACTTACGTTTTGAATTATCTGTATTGTTGCCTAGCATTTATTACTTGAACAATATGGATTTTTGACAGCAATTTTATGTAAATATTTGTATGTCTCTGTGATAAATCCGTTAATAGCATTAAATTCAGAAATTGCTAGAATTACATGATAACACCAGTTGTGTAATTTAAGAGTTGTAAACCCGAACATGAATATTCTTTGAATAGTTTAACAAATTATTTTGCACATTTCTTAATTAAATCCTATTATAAAATATAATAATCGGTAAATAATAATACTTGCATATTCATAAATTGTATATTTATAAATTAAATATCTCAAATTTAATCAACATCTTCTTAGAAAACTTTTCCTGATGACTATAAATATATATTTGATTTCAATAAATATAAACATTCGTCAAGTCTTTATCAATTCTTCTTTTATTTGATAATGATAAACTACAATATTTTATAAAAAGCCCATCCATAATGAATACTAACACTTTCATCATATTTTGGAATTCATCAACAGTGAATCTTTTTATATTTTCAAGACCATGCTTAAATATTTTCAACCCAGAAAACCTAGGTATTTCAGAAAGTTTTTTATCAAACTCATTTACGGCTATTTGTTCACATAGATTTTTTAATAAATCTCGCGTATAAGTCACTTGATAATTAAACAAACCAAAATCACAATGGTGCATCCTATCAGGAATGATTGCTGTATAAATATTAAGTTTACTATCATAATAGAATTACATATTATTAGTTAATAAATGTATTAACAAATTAATAAACATATTTTAAAAAAGTAAACTTACGGATATTTTCAGAATATGTTTTCTGTTTCATGTAATGAGAACTCTTTTGCATTACCATCTGTTATAACCTTTTGCATATCCTATGGTATTCTAATGTAAATATCTTCAATCTTTAAATCTATATTATTAAGATCATCAACTGATACTACACAAATACTACAAGGACAATTACAATTTATCGAATTGTATGTTAATATTATAGATACTTATTCAGGAATATCTCCAATTATCTGAGATATGAACGGAAAGCATCACAGATTATCACCATTAGGAGTAATAATTTTCATTCCAATCAAGTAATGTGTCAATAAATAATTCGTTTAGCTAATAGATATGAATTATTTTTTTTTTTCAGAATTAGTTTTTGCTTTAATTTTTAGCAAATATCCTATAACAACTTTTGCATCAGGTTTATTATGATGCCAGTTAGGGATATTATCAAGCATCAAGTAAATGGGATGTTCACTTGATTTTCCTAGAAAATCACATATAGTAGCATCAGAATATAAGATAATAGATAACACCTTTCCATTATTAGGTAGAGAGTTATGAATTTTACTTCACCATATTATTCACCATAAATCCATTCTCCTTCATTATTATACAATGGCATGTAATCAAATATACATAATTCAAATAATTCCTTATTTGCTAATAATTCTTTTACACCATCAAGTATCGGATGATGAAATAAAAATATGTTCATCATTGTATATCATCACATTTGTTTTTTGAAACTCTAGATGAGGCATTTTCATACTGTTTACAATCTGATATCCTTGCTTGATTGATGTTGGTAATATCACATCATTTCGACAAATTCTTTTTGCAAATTTTAGGATTTCATTACCAACTGATTCTGAAAGTTCTCGCTTAATTATTATATTCATAAAATCACTGAATTCCTGGCTTGGGAAACTTCGTTTATTATTCGTAATATCTTGAAGATTAAGAACAAATGATGGATTATTGTTTGTAACATCTATTTCCAACGGATATACAAAATTCTAGTAAAATAATATAAATATTAATATAATATATTTATATTATCATAATTAAAATAACAAATAATAAGTAAGATGAATTATTAACCTCATTATATTTATCATCATTAATAATATCTGTACCAAGAATCTCATCACTATCATCACTACTAATATCAATATTATCCTCATATTCTCGATTACTAATATCTTCAATAATATCTTCAATAATAGGCGAATGTTTAACTGATGAATATCAAATTTTTTCTTTACTTTTTTTTAATTCTTCAGAAGCAATACGCATCTGTTCATCTATATGATCAGCTGCATGTGTTTTGATATGGTTACGAAGCGATGCACACTTTGAGAATATTCTTGTACATTTATTGCATATAAACATTGTATTGTTAGGATGAAGAAGTAATTAATTGACTAAATAGAATGATAGTAATTTGATTTAAATGAAATAATTGTAGTAAAGTTGACTTAAATAAATAATTCGTTATTAATAAATTAATTATTAATAAAAGGAATTTTCTTGAATATTTTTAAGAGAAAAATAAACTGTTGGTATTCAATTGATGATTGATTCAATTCACCCATCATTGAATTTAGTTGATAATAGACTATAAATAAACTTTGGTCACCAATCATTATAAAAATTATAAAAAGATACATTTTTTTAAGAAAATTAATCAAGTTATCTTTTCTTTTTTTCTTTGTTTATTGTCATAAAAAAAAAATAAAAAAAATAATTCTTCAGTTAATGTAACTGACTTAAATTCTTTAATACATCTAAAATTAAGACGTACGATAACTGATGTTGGCAAGGTATAATTTCTTTTGTTTTTTAAAATATTAATATTAATTAATATATGAAGTTTATTTTAATTTAATATAGACTAATGACAGAGATGATAGTAATCATTTTAACTTACAATATAAAGATAAGGAAAGAGAATGTTCTCGCAGCCTAACATCAGAAGAAAGAAATCATTCTCACAGCCTAACATATGAAGAAAGGAGTCATTCCTGCAGCCAACATACGAAGAAAAAAGCCATTCTCACAGTCCAACATCTGAAGCAGGAAAATTAGTTCTCATTCATCAGAGAATGAAGAAATTAATCTAATTAGATCATCATCAAAGTGAAATCATAATGATCATCCTTACCATTCAATAAGAATCCCAAAAAATAATGTTATTGTTCTTGTTGATAATTTAGAGAAGCGAGTACATACTAATTTTAATTTTCAACGTGATATATTTTTGTTGTAATTTTGTTAAAATTTTTGTCTTATTTTTTATCACTTAGCCATCTAAAATCAATAAAATA